CACACTATTTTGAATGAGTGCTTGGCTGACTGTTTCACAGGACATCTGGGATGGGGTGAAAATCATTAGCTATACTGCTAGAGCTCGGCTAGCTGTAATTGCCTTGTCTTAGAATAGCATCAAATGAACACATTCTGAAAAGGGGGTTCAATGTATCACTCAGTTAACTCTGCAAACTTCTGACTCTTATAAAGTTTTGACTGTCAGATGGGATATGCTTTATAGAACTGTTTAGGGCTTCCTGCACGTTGCAAGCTTGTTAAAGAAATTATGCAACCATATAATTTAAAGTCTGGTAAGAAAAACATTTATGACTTGAGTAATTGGCAAGGATTTCCTAAGGCCCACTACGGTTGATTCAGCATTCACATGGCAATGGCTATAATGGACAAGGTCACAAAAAAAAAGTCTCGTCCTCATGTTAATTGGACACTACATATCCAGTTCTGCTTTATTTTTCATTTAGCATTGAAGCACTGGGTTAAAAAAAAAAATCAGTTTCTTGATGAAAATCAGCTCAAATGATTAAGTAGGCAACTTCCTGTCTTGTTCGATCTCTCCCATTGTTTGTTTAAAAGTCTTTCATACAAACTGCTTGTTTATCATTGTTTCTGAGCGAAAGGTACTTGACCTACCATTAATTATGTATGACACCGGTGCATAATGATTAGACTCAATAACAAGATGTATTTCATTGCACAAGATTTTCCAAGGCCTTCAGATAACAATACAGTAAGTTATGTTTATGTTCACAGACACAGACAAAGTTCTGATAAGAAGGAAACTTTGCTTCCCTCCTATGTGGAGCTTAGTAGGACACTTGCCACTTGTAGTGTTGGGTTGAGATTACATGCTGGTCAACCTTTTAAGTGTAGATTTAGTGCACCACAAAACCGGCAAGAGTACCGTCTTCCCATTAGGGTGGACAGGATGTTTCAAGTGCAAACCATTTGTCTGGCAGCTAATTATATCGACTGGGAGCTTCCAGACAAACACAATTGATTTAGCCTAATTTTAGCAAATGGTCTCCATAGCATTTGTAACTTTTGCTTAATTCTCACATGGTTTCATATGTTCTTTGTCCTTCTTTTTTGGGGATAGGATTGATCTAATGTTTGAGTATAAAACAACAATACAACTTTGAAAAATATTTCAAAACACTGCCCTCAACATTTTGTTGCAACACATTAATAAAAACTCCCTGAGTGTGTCTTACCTTTCCATGTTTTCTGTAAGGAAGACTGAGCCTGGATAGCCATCCCCTCTGGCAGAGAGAGGCCCCTGTGACAGGCCTGGGCGAGTTTTCCACGTCTCCATTAATCCAGTAACTGGAGAAATTAGATTCAACAAGGGGTTTGTCTGGTCCCTCAGATTATGGCGTGCAAACGACATTGTTCCTTGCGCTCCAATCTGGTAATGAAATGAATGTCCACCTGAATTAACGCCAACAATAGCCGACGTGGGAACATTATTATTTTCTTGGTAATAGCTGCCATCATTGGTTTCCTGTTTAATCCACTTGGGCAGGCCATTGTTAAGAAACACACCAGGTTCATAGTTGCCATTCAGAGACGAAACAGGAGGTCCCAAGATCCCAGAAAGACTATATTCGTCAATATTATCCCTCAAAGACAAGTATGTTGTCCCTGTAGAAGGAAAGCAGCCTAGAGAGTGCTGCGGCTCCACAAACTGAAGGTTCGAACATGTCACCTCTCTGTTTGGCTCTGTTTTAATGTCAGTTACGAAAGGAGAATGTGGCATGGCACTCTTGCTGCTGCCTAAGCACATACTCCTGTAATCAGTGCCAGGTTCGTTTTTGATATATTTGGCCACTCCCATAGCATCCAAGCCGATGTTAAATATTTCCCCATCCACATTCTCTACCTTCGGGAACTCAAATCCCTTGAAGTCATGCTCTCGGCTCTCAGGGCTGTTGACATCATTTTGCACTAGGCCCAATCCACTGGGAGGGCTACAGACCGAGAAGCCCCTGGATGAGTTCCTGGGACTGGACATGGTCATGCTGCCAACGGTGGGCGGACTGGAGATGGATGGTCTAATGTTACAGGTATGGCCTCCATTTGTTGTTGGGCTTGAGACGGATGATCTCATGTTGGTGTTACAGGAAAGCGGCGAGCACACACTACCTATACTATGAGGGCTGGAAACTGGAGACTTCATTACACTGAGCGGACTAGCCAGTGGAGGTGACCCCACCATGCTGGACTTTACAGGGCTACAGGTGTTGGGACTGGTGTGTTGACCTTGGGTCAAGTTTTTGCAGGCAGAAGCCAGCGTCGGACAATCAGAGTCAAAGAAGATGGGGCTGGTAGTGGATGACACCATGTTGTGTCCGGTAGGACTAGACATGGGTCCAGACCCATCAGTGCTGCACGAAAGAGCAGTGGCCAGTGCAGAGGGCACTGAGGCAGAGACCACACCGCACTCCTGAGGGCCACCATTGGGTAGCTGGGCCCCAGGTGGGAATGAAGCTGGGGGAGCTTTCATCTTTGGACTCCCAGTCATTTTGGACTGGCTGTCTTCAATTGCTCTCCCACAAAGAGGATACAGTTTCTCCGGGTTACCCTGCCCTCCTGCAGTACCCTGTTGGGCAAAGCTAAAGTCTGCCTCCCTGGCAGCATTCATGTACAAGCCCATAGACTCAGCAACTGTTTTGGAGAGCTCCTTTGAGTCTGTTTCTGACTTGCGGTTGTGTAAGGAGTTGTTAAAGGAGGGAAAAGGTAACGGTTGATTCTGGTTAACTCTAAGCATTGTTGTCTCTGTAGTTTTAAAGTTGTTGTCCTTGCAGGCAGACGGCACGTTAGGGGCATTGCTCGAGTTAACAATATCCATGAGCACGTCGCTGTTTGTCAAATTCTCTTCGGCAGAACAGCAGTACTCCATGGTGTTCGGCATCTGTGCCCATTTGCTTTCTGCATTTGCCCCTTCGCAGTAACTTTGGTATCTTTTAGTCTCCATACCTGGATCATTTGATAAACCTAATGGACCAATAAATTAGAGACATTTAGACTTTACAGACAAAATAGCAATATTTTGATTAGTACAAAGCAATTTCATTACTCTGACTGTCAAACCAAAGTGCACACATAATTATTATTCATTACTGGTTTAATGTGTCTATTTTTTGGAAAATGCATTACAGATATACTGTTTTCAGTTTTGTTATTACAAAGAAATGTATCATTTATTTATAAGTTTCATTGGGCTTTAAAACATCTTACCACAAATTTTTATATATTATTTTTTGCATTTAATACAGATATTATTTTGTTTGTTTTTTTATAACCAATTTCTATCCTCAGATGTAAATGGGATGCTAATTAAATGGTATTGCAAATGCCCTCTTCTTTAAAAATGTGGGAGCCACCCCTCTCTGTCAGACCACTGTGCATCCCCATCTTCTCCTGCTGAGATGTTTGGATTTGACCAATTACATCTTTACATGTTTTTACCAGCATGATATGTGAATCCACTATAAATTAGCAAATTTGTAAATTAACTGTGAAAGTCTTTGCTTTGAGAAGTGCTGGATCCTGGCACTGCCTCTGCAGACATCAAGAGCAGTGCTCCACATTCAAGGTAGTTTTCATGGAATTCACTCGCCCTCTCATTGAATATGAATTGTGACCTAGCAGGCAACTTTTTTTTCCAAGCAAATCCCTGTGCTTTACTTTGCCACACACTCTAACTTCAGCTGCTATATGTATGCACCATAAAACGTCCTTTACCTGCTAAAAGACAAAAATGTAGGAGGGATGGTAATAGGTCAAGTTCATAAAAATGTGCCTCTGCCCCTCATATACTGTACATCCACGGACATACAGTTCTATTATGTTCACAGTGTTAATGGCACTACTGTCAGGCAGTCTCATTACTGGTGATAATCTTCATCATGTATTTATTATAGTGTATAATAGAATGTGTCATTTCTTTGTTCTTTAATCCTTTGTTTATGGATTATTATTATTAGCAGTAGTATTTTATATTTCTAGTAAAGTAGAAGGGTATACAATTATTTATCTACTGTACATTATCTTTGAACATATGTTTATCTAACAAAAGTGAATCCTTCTGTCCCTCAGATGGCAACGATACAATGTAAGGACTCATTTCAGCAGTTACATTTAGTTATGTTAAATTGACAAATGTGTACACCTCCTGAAATTCCAAATGCCCCATAAGTAATTCATCTTGGTGCTGGCAGCCTAAACAGGCTTCCAAAAAAAAAAACTGTGGACTGAGACTTACAAAGCAGAGACAGCGTCAATGCAAAAATAACTAGTTTAAATCTGTAAACGGTGCAGGATTTAATGCATTGTGCATTTGTTTATTTTCACGTATGTAATGTGTTTTTTTTTTTAATGGCTTGGGGGAAAAAAAAAGTTAATTTCCCACACTGTTGACAGCACCAAGAGCATTAGGGGAGGGACTGAAGACGCAATAGAACCGCTGTGAGTTTAAACTGTCAGTCATGTACAGTACATATACAGACTTCTTTCACCATCTATACTAAGACGAGAACTGAGTAGTTCTTCTGTAGCAACATATAGCTCATTAGGCATCGCACTTTTCAAAGCAAAGTCATATGGTGATGACAGTGCTGCTTTAAACGTTTCACGTAGTTCGTTGTTTTTGTTTGGTCTCTTCTTTTTTCTCCCTATCGTCTTCTTCCCACGATACCGTACTTTAGCGTGCAACCGTTGGACAGAAGCAGACACACTGTCGTCAAGTTTATCACGCCACTCACAGATTGGTCCCGTCGCTCTGTCAGTCTTTTATTTATAAGCTTTGTAGCCACAATATTTCTACGACAATCATTCCAAACATCTTAATTACGAACTTAGTCAACTTTACGTGTAGGTTCGGATGCGTGAAATTTCATGCTGCATTGCACAGCGACCTCCAGAATGATGAATGTGACGCAGTTGTTTCTTCTGCAAAAGAGCCCCTGTTTAAATATCGTTGTTCATCACATGACGTCACTCAATATTATCCCTCAAAGACAAGTATGTTGTCCCTGTAGAAGGAAAGCAGCCTAGAGAGTGCTGCGGCTCCACAAACTGAAGGTTCGAACATGTCACCTCTCTGTTTGGCTCTGTTTTAATGTCAGTTACGAAAGGAGAATGTGGCATGGCACTCTTGCTGCTGCCTAAGCACATACTCCTGTAATCAGTGCCAGGTTCGTTTTTGATATATTTGGCCACTCCCATAGCATCCAAGCCGATGTTAAATATTTCCCCATCCACATTCTCTACCTTCGGGAACTCAAATCCCTTGAAGTCATGCTCTCGGCTCTCAGGGCTGTTGACATCATTTTGCACTAGGCCCAATCCACTGGGAGGGCTACAGACCGAGAAGCCCCTGGATGAGTTCCTGGGACTGGACATGGTCATGCTGCCAACGGTGGGCGGACTGGAGATGGATGGTCTAATGTTACAGGTATGGCCTCCATTTGTTGTTGGGCTTGAGACGGATGATCTCATGTTGGTGTTACAGGAAAGCGGCGAGCACACACTACCTATACTATGAGGGCTGGAAACTGGAGACTTCATTACACTGAGCGGACTAGCCAGTGGAGGTGACCCCACCATGCTGGACTTTACAGGGCTACAGGTGTTAGGGCTGGTGTGTTGACCCTGGATCAAGTTGGTGGGGGCAGAAGCCAGCGACGGACAATCAGAGTCAAAGAAGGTGGGGCTGGTAGTTGATGACACCATGTTGTGTCCGGTAGGACTAGACATGGGCCCAGACCCTTCAGTGCTGCATGAAAGAGTGGTGGCCAGTGCAGAGGGCACTGAGGCAGAGACCACAGCACACTCCTGAGGGCCACCATTGGGTAGCTGGGCCCCAGGTGGGAATGAAGCTGGGGGAGCTTTAATCTTTGGGCTCCCAGTCGTTCTGGACTGGCTGTCTTCATTTGCTCTCCCACAAAGAGGATACCGTTTCTGTGGGCTACCCTGCCCTCTTGCAGTCCCTTGTTGGGCAAAGCCAAAGTCTGCTTCCCTTGCAGCATTCATGTACAAGCCCATAGACTCAGCAACCGTTTTGGAGAGCTCCTTTGAGTCTGTTTCTGACTTGCGGTTGTGTAAGGAGTTGAAGGAGGAAAAAGGTAATGGTTGATTCTGGTTAACTCTAAGCATTGTTGTCTCTGTAGTTTTAAAGTTGCTGTCCTTGCAGACAGACGGCATGTTAGGGGCGTTGCTCGAGTTAACAATATCCATGAGCATGTCACTGTTTGTCAAATTCTCTTCTGCAGAACAGCAATACTCCATGGTGTTCGGCATTTGTGCCCATTTGTTTTCTGCATTTGCCCCTTCGCAGTAACTTTGGTATCTTTTAGTCTCCATACCTGGATCATTTGATAAACCTAATGGACCAATAAATTAGAGATATTTAGACTACAGTCAAAATAGCAGTATTCTGATTAGTACAAATAAATCTTATTACTCTGACTGTCAAACCAAATAGCACACAAAATTATTATTCATTACTGGTTTAATTTGACTATTTTTTGGAAAATTTATTACAGCTAGGTGGATGCTGCACACTGGTGGTGGTTGAGGAGAGACCCCCTCATATGACTGTAAAGTGCTTTGGGTGTACAGCAATACACTATAAAGCACTATATAAATGCCTCATTCATTCATTCATTCATTCAGATATACTACTTTTCAATTGTGTGATTACAAAGAAATGTATCCCCAGATCCTCAAATAGAGCTAATTAAATGGGATTGCAAATGACCTCTTCTTTATGTATGTGTTGGGGCCATCCCTCTCTGTCAGACTACTGTGCCTCCCCATTCTCTCCAGCTGAAATGTTTGTATTTAACCAAACTATTATATCTTTCCCACATGTTTTACTATGTTTTCCATCATGATGTGTGAATCCACTATAAATTAGTACATTTGTAAATGAACTGTGAAAGTCTTTGCTTTGAGCATTGCTGGATCCTGACACTGCCTCTGCAGACATAAGGTGCAGTGCTCCACATTCAAGGTGGTTTCACGAAATCCACTTGCCCCTCTCATTGAATATGAATTGTGAACTAGCAGGTAACTTTTTTTCCTAGCAAATCCCTGTGCTTCACATTTCTTTGTACTTTTAACTCTTTGTTTCTGGATTATTATTATTATTTTAAATTTCTAGAAGAGTGGTATAAAAATTAATTTAACCCTTCTGTCCTTCAACGATATGACGTAAAGATTCATTTTAGCAGTGTTACATTTAGTTATGATGAAGTGACAAATAAAAAACTGTGGACTGAGACTTACAACAGGTTTTAATGCATTGTGTATTCATTCAATTTCACGTATGTTTTTTTTTAATGGCTATGGCAAAAAAAAAAAAAGGTAATTTCCCACACTGTTGACAGCACCAAGAAGAGAAAGCAAATCGACCACCCACACGAGCATTATGGGAGGGACTGAAGACGCAATAGAACCGCTGTGAGTTTAAACTGTCAGTCATGTACAGTACATACAGGCTTCTTCTACCATCTATACAATCATGAATAGCTCTACAGACATACAGTTAGTTCATGAGGCATTGCACTTTTAAAAGCAAAGTCATAAGGTGATGAGAGTGCAGCTTTAAACGTTTGACGTAGTTCGTTGTTTTTGTTTTGGATTTTTTTCCTTGTCTTCTTCCCACGATACCGTACTTTAGCGTGCAACCATTGGACAGAAGCAGACAAACGGTCGCCTAGAGTTTATCACGCCACTCTCGGATTGGTCCTCTGTCAGTCTTTTATTTTTATAAGCTTTCTAGCCACAATATTTCTGCGACATTCTTTAAAACATGTGCAAAACGAACTTACTCTTTGCATAGTCTACAAAAACTTCGTCAACTTTACGTGTAGGTTTGGATGCGTGATATTTCATGCTGCATTGCACAGAGATCTCCAGAATGATGATTGTGACGCAGTTGTTTCTTCTGCAAAAGAGCTCCTGTTTAAATATCGTTGTGATGCGCTTTATTCATCACATGACGCCACGTGAAACAATTACGCATAAAAAAGTGAAATAAATATGTTTGCATGCATTTCCACAAGAATAAATCTTATTCGCCAGTGTTCTTACTGTCTGTGAACATCACAGTAATTATCGTGTCCCATCTGGCTGAATAAACTTAAGTTGCACTCAACTCTAGATGCACTAGCACGCGTACAGTAAATAAGACAGGATGATGTTAACGTTACGCGAAATAATACAAGCTGCTATTCCTTGAAGAACTTATAACGACGGAACGAAGGAGATCGTGCTAAGCGTTGATATAACTATTTAAAATTTGATGTAGGCTAAATTTGATGGAAAGCGTTAGCAATTGCGATGTGTTAAACAGCATTCACTGCTGCATGGATTTATGTATTTTATTTTATCTGATGCAAAGGATGTTAGTTAAGGATACATTATTGACGGAATCATTATATCAATTGCAATTTACATTGTTGTTGTTTTTTTCTGTTGTTTCTTTTCATTGCTTTAAAGTGCACTTCATGCACAGCACAGGTCCTGTCAAGTTAAGCATCGCGTGTCACAAATGTACAAGTTTTAGACCAGTTTTAAACTCGTCTGCATTTATAGTAGCTCATATATAGAGGACTGCTCCGTTCTCCAGCGATATAATAATAATAAGACATCTTACCGTAATTACGACATCCAATTGTGACAGTTAACTCTACTGCTGGTCACTAGTAATCCAATGGACAGAACGGAGCAAATGACACTAAACCGTGCCGTTAAGTTGTGTTTAGAAGTATTCCCAGTGTTGCGACTGCTTGCATGTAGCCTACTAGTTTCAGTTGTGACAGCTGAACGCACAGCTCACTGCCGCGCTCATGACGCGAGATCCTTAACTACAACGCATTGTACGCGTACAGCAGTCAACAGCGACTTCACCGAAACGTCCTGTCGTTTGTTTTCTGTTTACGTGCACATTGCTACTAGATTGTTGAAAGCGCCCAACTGAAGACTAATACAAACAGCGGAGGACTCAGACAGACTTGCGTAGAGACGTCATTGTGTGCACATGGACCCTCCTACTGCAATGAGAGCTCGGGTGGGAGGGGGCGATGGGTGCGCTCAGGTATATATACGGCTCTCCATCCAGAAGTAGGGCAAGGTAGTTTGATTACGCAGCCG